CAGCCCTAGGAACACGCTCAGGGGTGGGATAAGGATGGGGATGGTTGGCTTTATCAAATGTAATTATAACAACTGCCTCTTTTAGAGGGAGAGCAGAGTCTTCAGGTTTAGCCTGCCCTTTTATAAGGAGCAGGGAACACATACACTTGGGGGTCAGTACCCAAAAGAGAACGTATAACTGAGGTTAAAAATTACAAGGAATTTTTATGGTCATCTAAGTTTGTCCATGGGCCTCGGTTTGGTTTTGTTTGTTTTCTTTTGTTTTCCTGAATTGAGACTAAATCTTAAATGAAGGGGAGCTATGAGGACACATGAGTAGCATAAGAGTACTGGATCAGAATTTGCTGTGGCTGGACCAGGCCAAGCAGACTCGAGGAGGGGGGTCCCTTCTGGATTGGGCCTTGGGAGCAGTTCTCATTCCTCTCTTGTTTTCTTGGGCCTCTTCCTTGCCCTGTTAGCATCAGTCTCACTAGCTGATTGTGTCAGTGATGAGGGAAATGTCTGGTTTGGAGTTTGGTGTGTCTTGGGGTTGGCTTCCTTTTGCCTGTCCCAAATTGCAGCCTCTTCCTCCTTCAATACAGATTTTGACTGGGTATGGGATGATCTGAACAAGTCGACAGCCACTCTGCTAAGTTGTGACAACCGCAAAGTCAATTTTCACATGGAATACAGCTGTGGCACAGCAGCCATACGAGGGAATAAGGAGCTGTGTGAAGGCCAGCACTTTTGGGAGATTAAGATGACTTCTCCGGTCTACGGCACTGATATGGTATATTTAGGGACATCTGGGGGGGCACTGTTCTAGAACAAGGGTGCTGGCCACAGACCACCTCTCGTGGCTTAATGCTCTTCTGTCCGTTCTCTCCCCATTTTCGGTAGATGGTTGGTATTGGGACATCAGATGTAAATCTGGACAAGTACCGCCATACATTCTGCAGCTTGCTGGGCAAGGATGAAGACAGCTGGGGCCTCTCCTACACAGGTGAGCGCAGGAGGACTGATGAGAATACAAAGAAAAAGCTACTTGTTGCTATGGCTCAGGGAGGGGAAACCTTGTGGCTGCTGCTTATTTTACAAGACTGGTTGGGGTTGGAGGCTTCATGGCTATAGATGACCGAAATCTCAGGGTAGGTAGACTGGGGTGGGGGTGGGGAGAAAGGAGTCAGATTGTAGGCAAGATTATGCTGTCTCCCTCTAGCATTCAACAGGCAGGGCTAGGAAAAAAGTGGATTATATTAGAAGTGGAGCCTATCTTACGCTAAACTACAAGATCCACCAAATCTAGCTTTCCCTGCTTTGGGGCTACTGTTTCAGGACTTCTCCATCACAAGGGTGACAAGATGAGCTTCTCATCACGGTTTGGCCAGGGCTCCATCATCGGGGTTCACCTAGACACTTGGCATGGGACACTGACCTTCTTCAAAAACAGGAAATGCATAGGTAAGGGTGGGAGCTAAAGGCCCAGGTTACAAAATAGAATGGCTTTAAAGAGAGCAAGTAGCTATATGTGGATGGCCTGAAGGCACCTGTCGAGAATAAGCTATTGGCTCGGGAGCCCTTAGAAAGGGCATGGCTAACTCTAGTAATCAGAGGAATCTGGAATCCTTGGACCTGTGCTCAGTTTTGGTGGTAAAAAGACTGACCCAGGGAAAGAGAGGGGAGGGCCTTTCTGAGTCACTCCCTGATCTTTAGTCTCTACTCCCTCCAGATGCTTGGATCCTGGTCTGTTTCACCGTGGGCTCTGTAGATTAGGCCTGGGTACCCTGGAATTTGTCCCACCTACGTAGAGGCTAGAGGTCAGTGACTGCCCTGACACCTCCATTCACATCATGTCTCCTGCCAGGAGTTGCTGCCACCAAACTGCAGAACAAGAAATTCTACCCGATGGTTTGCTCCACTGCCGCTAAGAGCAGCATGAAAGTGATCCGCTCCTGTGCCAGCCTCACTTCCCTGCAGTATCTGTGTTGCTACCGCCTGCGCCAACTGCTGCCTGACTCTGGGGACACACTGGAAGGATTGCCTCTGCCTCCTGGCCTCAAGCAGGTGCTGCACAACAAACTGGGCTGGGTCTTGAGCATGAACTGTAACCCCCTGCCATCCCCGTCACCCAAGGTGGCAGCATGCTCGGGGAGCCCAGAGGCCAAGCCATGTCAAAGGAAGAGGTGTCGACGGACTTAGCTTATTTTCCAATGAAAACTGCCTTGTTGGGCTTGGGGTGGCTTCTCTTTCTTTTCCCTTTCCTCCACACACTCTTGGGACAGGAGGGAAGGTTGGGAGGGGAGGTTGCCCATCCCCGTCTTTGGGGCCAGTTCCACTGGTTTGAATTTGCCAAGATACTCCCCTCATTCAGGAACTAGTTTAGGTCATGGCACCTGCTCCTCACCTGGACTGGAAGACTTGTGCCATGAACCTGTCAGCTCAGAAAAAGATGATCACAGTAAGGCTGCCTGAGCCCTTATTCTGGACTTAGCCCAGGGGTCATTCCAGGTTCTCTTTAGAGGGGTGGAGATTGCAGTGCTACTGCCTCCCTCTGGGGACAGTGTATGATCACTCCTGCCTCAAGGGAGGGGAGGATAATGCTGCAGCCTAGCCTCAGCTGTTCTCAAATGTGCCGCTAACCAGGGGTGAGGAGAAAAGCCTGGTTAATATTAAGATGTGTATCTGTGTTTCCCCCTCCACCCCTTGGGGCTTCAGATCTAGGGATCTAGAATTTTTTTTTTAAAAACCTGCTTTTTGCATGTTGTCAGCTTCTGCTCCTGTATCAGAGACTGTATCAAATCACTGTAATAAAGTTGAAATAGTTTATATTGAATTATAGATGCTACACAAGTAAGTGGGCCCCTGTTTAGGATTTGGGTGGTTGTGTGATGTTTCAGGGCTAAGGGCTTGTCAAAACATCAGTCTACCTTGATTATGAAAGTACTGCCTTTACCTTGTGGATGCACTTGGGTAGGGAATCAGCCCCATTGTACTGATAAGAAAACTGACGCTTGAAGGAAGTGATTTTTAGTGGCAGAGCCAAGACCCAGAATTATGGCCTTATGTGTCTGGAGAGCTAAGGGTCCTTCAGTAAATTGCAAAGAACACAGTATCTTGCTAAGATGATGTGAATTACCAGGGTCTCTAATTTCTTTGCTTATTAAAATTGTAGGTGCATCCTATCCAGGCTGGAAGTTGTAAAATTCAAGAGTTCTGACATCTTTAGGGAACTCTTCATTTAAAACAAAAAAATCTCGGCACAGCAGAGTGGCCACCAATTATTGTCTGGTTTGGCTGTCACGCTACACCTCTAACTCTCCCAACAATAAACAGCCTACTGTTCAGCTTCAGACCCAAAAAGGGTAGGAGAGGATCTGTAGCCCTCCCCCTCAACCCTATAGTTAAGTGCTCAAATGCAGCAAAAGGTCAGGATTAATTAACATTAAGAGGTAGACCCAACGGGGAAGGGCAGGACAGCTCTTTGGACCTGAATCTGCCTTTCTTCACAGCACTGTCACTGAGCAGACAGGTGTTCCTGCTCTGTGGCACAAAGTACATATGCCTGAAGGAGCCCAGAGACCAAGTACAAGTTGGTAATGCCCACACCCCTTCCCTCCCCTTATCGGGGTAACCTGACACCAGCTTTTTGACCCCTCCTGGGGGGGGGGAGTGTCATTTTTTTCACCTTCCCTTGAGAAACCCCCCCAGGGGAAAGTGCAGAACAAAGAGTTTATATTTTTTGTGTTCTTTCTCTTAGGGTTGAAGGGTATGTCGGGAGAAGGTATGTTGGAGGTCATTTACTATGACTTGTCATTTTACAGATAAGACCCAAGGGCCCTGAAGTCTTCAGCACTCACTGTATAGATGAGACTATACATGGGCAAAGGAAGTTTCTTCTGGAGATTTTTAATGAAAATCAGGGCTGGAAATGAGAATACCCAAAGTTCTGATCAAATGTATATACTACAACTGTTAATCTAAAGGAATAGCAATGATCTGGCCTGGACCCACGCTGCCCAGGCATTGAGGCACTTGTGTGGCCTTTGTTAATGCTGGCTTGGCTCCTGTTTGAGTACACCAGCAGCACAGTCAGGTTCTACTGTAGTTGCAGTAGTACCAAGGCCTGTGGAGGAGGAAAGGAAGATACTGGGACAAAAAGTTCAGGCTGAGGCGGGGGCAGGGCCCTGCTAACCCAGCACCCCTTAGAAAGCAACTTAATAACATATAATCACACACTTGAAGCAGCTGCGAATAGGACAATTTGATCCCTTGCAGGTGATGTTCATTGTTCCCATTATTAGAGGATGTACCCTGCCTGCCCAGGACTCAGAGCCACCCCTCTGAGAAAAAGCTCCTCTCAAGGCTGCTTAGGGCCAGAAATCAACCTACCTAGCCTTTGGTAGCCAGGTCTTCACCTCTTCCACCTCTTGTTGGGTCACAGCCACCTTTGAGCTGGAGTCCTGAACACCAGACTGGGAGCAAAAACCATTTGTCTTTCTGGCTTATCCATTTTTCCTCTCCCCATCCACCCTTCTGAGAAAACTGCTGTTGCTACCCCTGGTTTAGGATCCTTTGTGGCCTGTAGATAGTCTGGAGTGGCTAAGATTGAGGGAGTCTAATGAAAGTCTCCCATCTCTCTAAGTATACTACTAAATTATGGCTTTCCTCTGTGCTCCCTTGGCCTCTGGAACTGAGCAAAGCAAGAACCACTACTGGTAAGTGTCAGGTCCACTGACAGCCTGGTGATAGTGAGTCTGGCCAGCAGTATTCTCAGGTACAATCCAAGGAACAGAGCTAGTAGGTGGTAGAACCCTCTAAAGTGAGGAAGGACAATGAGAAAACTCAGGTCTTGTTTATGTCAAGTCTTAATTTTTTCTTGAAACTATTTGCCTTCAATAAAGTCAATAGTGTGTGTCAATGAACTTGACAACTCTTCTTTCTAGCTGATAAACATTAGTTTAATCATTTGTGGCCACGTGCAGATTATGGCCTCCTAAAGTGAGAGACCCTGTGTGGAAGCCTCCAACCCAAACAGCGTAACTACCCACCTTCTTCCCCTTCACCTCCAAGCTCTTGGAGTATGCTGTCAACAATCCTTGTTCTCCAGCCCTATTCAGGGCCCTTTCCAGTTTGGTGGTCACTCCCCAGAGGCTGCCTTTACTGCTGAAATTGTAACCCAGGCCCATCCCCTTTACCTTTTCTCCAGGCTCACCTGTGCCTTCTTTCTAATAGAAAAGAGACACCAGTTTTGTTTTGGTTTTCCTCCAAGGAGGATTAGGTGTCTGAGTTGGATGGCTTTGGTGGGAGCTGTTCAGTGAAAAGGCGATTCCTGAGTAGGGGAGGATGAAAGATTAAAAACCACTAGTTTATAGCTGGAAGAGACACACATCAGAAAATCAAAGGGTAGGGAACCTGCAGCCTTAAGGCCACATGTGGCTTTCTAAATCCTTAGGCTCAGTCTTTGGACAGAATCCAAATCTGGATTTGTTCTGCAAAATTTGGATACAGTCAAAAGGCTGCACTTAAGGATTCAGAAGGCCACAGGTTCCCCACCCCTGGATCCCTTCACTTTAAGTCTGACCATAAAAATTAAATAACCTGTGATTCTGAGGGTGACTTCTCCCCAGGTTAGGTTTAGATATATGTGTATAGGGACAGGCCGTGAGGCCGAAGCTTCCCCACCCTAGCACCTGTGCCATTGAGATGAGGCCTCTGGGAAACCCCTCTAGTTTCAGGACTTCTGCAACCCACAGTGCAGCAGGAGCAGCCTGCCTGTCTGTCTGTCTGTCAAAGCCCACAGCCCCAGGATGTCAGAGGACTGACTCCAGAGCTGTCACTAGGCTCTCTGAGCCAGCCTCTTTCAGAATTGAAGGGTGAAAGTCAGAAAAAAGGATTCCAGAATTGCGTGGCAGTACTGATAGAACCTACCTGTGACGGACATGGTAGAAACAGCACTATTGCTGAGGGAGGAGACAGTGCATTTCCTGCCTTGGATTCTGAGGTATAGGAAGAGCACTGCTCTAGCAGATGGCTGGCACTGATCTCTTCTAGCTGAGACTTCGGACCCATGGCTGGGGCTCAATGACATACTCACATTTTAGGTACCTCAAAGCCCCTATTAAGATATCAGAGCCAGCATCTTCTAGGAGAGCTGGGGGTTAGGAGAAACAAGGAGAAAAGAGCACTTTGAGTTTCCCAGAAGTTCCAGCTGATTCAGCAGCCACTTGTAATTCAGCTGGGTAGTCACTCTGCTCTACCCTCCTCCCACTCAATACCACTACTCTTGCTGACAAGGGGCTTGATGGAAGAAGTGAGGAAGGAGGTAGGGAAGGACTCTTACCTATGACAAGGTTTCCCAGCCACCAGTCCCACTTCTGGTACATAACAAATTCTCACCATTCTGTGGAAATTTTTACTTTTAATTAAAGATTGTTTATGTGAAAAGGACCCTTTTTGCATCCTATTTCTTCCTATTTGAAGGTTCAAGAATTGCAATCAGTATAGAATTTTATGTATAGAATGTTTTAGAGTCCACAGTACAAGCCAGAAGAGTACTGACCTAAAACAGAGCTACAGAGATGGCAACTGACCTTTACAATGGCAGGGGAGCGCAGTGACAAGGACACCAGGTCATCTTCTCTGAAGTTCTCCAAGGTGGGGTTCTCAACCTCAACTTTCCTCAAAGTCTTCCACATCATACCTCTCCCATCCCTATTTGTAGAGGACTTGGACCCAGATTCTGACAAAACAGAGCCCTCTATTACCATGAACTCTCGCCTTTCCCCTACTCGACATTTCAAAGTCCCTCCATCCTTTCCTCCTTTACTTACACTACAGGTTCTAAAACATTAATTTTCTGTTGATGAAAAGTGACCTCCATCACTGCTGTTTTTCTGGGCAGACTGCTATGCCGTCTTTGATCTGTGCTTATCCAAAATCCTTAACTGCTGCCTATGAACATGCCCAGTTCTCTCCCATCCTTTTAAAAAACCTCAGTTAATTCAAGCTATCATCCCATCTCCTTGCCTTTTAGAGCCAAACTCCTAAAAAAAGCTGCATATATGCCTATACTTTTTGCTTTACTCAACCCCTTTCAATTGGGCTTCTGACTTCACCATTCAAGCGAAACTGCTGTTTCTTAACATCTTTTACTTGCCAAATCTAACGTCCTTTATTGGTCTTCATCCTTTCTGCAGTATCCGACACTACTGACTACTATAGCATTCTATATACCCTTCTCCTACCTGAGTTTTGGTGATGTTGCTTTTCTCCCCTCAGGCTATCCCTTTTCAATCTCCTTTGCTGGGTCATCATCTATTTCCTGCCCTCTTGTAGGCTTTGTCTTATACTTTTTTCCATAAGTTCAATTGCCTCTACGAAGAGGACTCCTAGATCTGTATGTCCAGCCTAATTTTGTCTCTAGAGATCAGAACTGCCTCTGCACATTTCTACCTGAATGTCTGTAGGCGTTTCAAATTCAACATATACACAACAGAACTCATTATAGTTTTCCTCCAAATCCACTCCTCTTCCAAACTTCCCTATTTTGATTGAGGGTGCTACCCATCTTTCAGTCTACCTCAGAATCATCCACGACTGTGTCCTCTCTTCTCGACCCCCACCCACCCCATTCAGTCTGTTGTCAAGTCTCGTTTATTCTATTTCCACAACTCTTGCATTGGTTCTTTCTCCTCACTCACACTGCCACCAACCTGAGGCCTTTGTCACTTCTAGGCTAGACTATTATAGTAAATATATTCCTAATTGGTCTTCCTTCCTCTAGTGACTTTTATTTCCAATCTAACATTCACAACTGCCAAAATGATATTCCTAAAAGTACAGGTCTAAAATGTTCCAAAAGCTCCAGTAAACACACCCTCTCACTTCTAAGACATAAAACACTCCAATCTGGCTCCAGCTCATCATTCCAGAATTGATACACGTTATTCCCCTTCCTGAACTCTCTGCAGTCTGACCAAACTGGCCTCCAAGCCCTTCCTCACAGATGACATTGCACATGTGGGCCTTTGCTCCACGCCTGGAACCGAAACCCTGAGCTTCCTTCAAAGTTCAGCTCAAGAACCACCTCTTTACACGTGCCTCTGCTGCCCACTTTGCTAGTGCCTTCTTCGTATCCTGAAAGTATCTTGTATTTACAGGAAACTGTACTTTGTATTTGGTATGCATGCGCCCATGTTGTTTCCCTAATAGGATGTAATCTCACACTTCATTTTTGCTTTTTTGAAGCCTAGGAAACAGTTTCTTTACAGGAGGCTCCATATCCAGCGCAATCCCTACGTTCCAAGCACTGACCCCACCTAAGAAGCTCCCCAGTGATTAAAGCCAGCTGGGAAAGGGAAGGATGCCACCACTTTCTATTCCAAACTTCAAAGTTCCCTACCCATCCAGAAGTGCTCCTTCTGATTTGGTCCGAATGCCTCCTGCTGAGCCTGTGGACAGCTCCGGAGGGCCGGCCCACCGGCCAAGCTTTTCAGGCAGTTGTTCGGCCGCGTTAGCCGGAGGGCCTCGGATGCCTCCTTCCGTCTCTGCTTCTCTAGTTCTCGGATATTCTCCGGGCCTCAGCTCGTGCAGCACCTGGCTCCTCCGGCGCCTTTCTCCCCGCCCCTTCCCGAGGCTGGACTCGCACCGGAGTAGCCAAGGGCCCTGAAGAGGGACGAGGGCTCTGGAGCCGGCTCTCGCCTCTTCTGGGTCACCGGGGCCCTCAGCGGTGGAGCTCGCGGGGCTCTCGGGCTCCGAATCGCAGATTTCCCAGGCCGGCGTCTTGGAGATTAGCGGCCACAGCCGGGCCCGGGCGAGCGCAGGACTGCAACTCCACCGCTTTGGACCCGCCCTCAGCAGCGAGAGGGCCACTCCCTTCCCACGCCCCGGGGCCCTTGCCTTCAGTCTCCTTCCCCCGCCCCCAGCCTCTCGATTTCTGCCCTCCAGGCCCCACCTCTAAGCGGCCACACCCCTTGAGTTCCGCCTTTCAGGCCCCGCCCCCGCCTTCCTGCTTTCTCCTAGATCCGTGGTCCGGCTCTCTGTACTGTCCCTCCCTGCTCCTCCTCCCGGGTTCCTTTAGCCCCTCCCCTCAATCTTTCCGCGTCTCCTCCGCTCGAGCCACTATTGAGTCTTCCCTTCCTCCGCCTTCCTTTAAGGCCCCTCAGCCCCTTCAGGTAGCGGCCCCGAATCATTACAGCCATGGCTCTGCCGCCCTGCCAAGACCGCCTCCCTCTCCCAAACGCCCTCCCCCCCAGCTATTTTCCTTCCGGCGCACGCCGCACGGTCCCGGATGCCGGGGACACACCAGGTCCTTCCGGCGCCAGGCCGTGGTGGGCGGTGCCTCGGCTCTGGCTGAGAGCTGAGGTGATCTCCCCTCTCCGAGCGGTCTCAGCTTGGCGCGCAGACGGGAGGTCGGCGTCGGCGTGATGGCGCGGAAGAAAGTGCGGCCGCGGCTGATCGCGGAGCTGGCCCGCAAGGTGCGCGCCTACCGGGAGCTGAAGGCGCGGCCGCGGGACTCGGAGCGCTTCGCCCTGGACTACGAGACGATGACGCGGCCGCTGAGCGGCCGCCGCCTCCCGGAGAAGGCATGGGCCGACGTGCGGCGCGAGAGCCGCCTCCTGCAGCTGCTCAGCCGCCTGCCGCTCTTCGGCCTCGGCCGCCTCGTCACGCGCAAGTCCTGGCTGTGGCAGCACGACGAGCCCTGCTACTGGCGCCTCACCCGCGTCCGCGCCGACTACACGGCGCCGGTGCGTGGGTGCTCCCCCGCGTGCGCCCTTCCCGGGGCCCCTTCCCAGCCCCTCCAGGGCCAAGGGCTCCCGGCTGGAAGAGCCGCTTGTTATAAATGGGGACGCTGGTGTCTGAGGGCAGAGGGGCCTTCCCCCAAGGTCACACCATGAGCCAGGCGGTGGGCGAGCAGGGTAGAACCCTGGTCTCTGCATCTCCTCGATAAAGCAGACTTTTTAATACGCCAGATTTATTTGGGGTGGGGAAGGGTCCCAGTTTTGTTTTTAAAATCTTTGTTGTATTTACTATGGATTAGTTTCTGTCTTAACCTGTTTGTCACATTCTAAATTGTATCTGATTTATTGGTAGATTTATCAAGGTCAAGGAGAAGTTGCAGAGAGAAACAGGTTTTGGCTCATGATAAGAAATACCTTTCTATCTGTGTGACTCTGGGCAAGTCCCTTAACTCCAATTGCCTCACCAAAAAATAAAAAATACCTTTCTAATAATTAGCTGCTCAGAACTAGAATGGGCAGCCTCTGGAGGAAGTGAATGAAATCCATCCCTGGAAGTCTTAAAGCACAGGCTGGATAACTGAAGGTAGACACATAAAGGGAATTCCTTGTTATTTATGTGTCAGATTAGGTGATATCTGAGGTCCCATACACCTGAGATTCTGTGATTCCATTTTAATTATGATACCATGGGTTGCCTGACCTCCCCCTCTCCTTGTCATTGCTTTCTAGAATTTGGATCATGGGAAGGCGTGGGGGATCCTGACCTTCCGAGGTAAGGAAAGTGGGGGGCTAGAGTTCTGGGGCTGATTGCTTATCGGTGTTTGTATTTGTTCATGGGAGAGGAGAGACCACCACATACTTCATGGTGGCAAGACTGTGCCAGCAGTAGGCACTCATTTGCTTCAACTTTTCCCCAGGTAAGACAGAGAGCCAAGAAAAGGAGATTGACCAGGTCATGTACCACGATTGGAGGCTGGTGCCCAAGCATGAGGAAGAAGCCTTTACAAACTTCACCCCTAAGTCAGAGGAGACTGTCCGATATGTGCCTTACCCTCCTTTATTCCGGGCGATGATCTTTGCAGAACGACAGAAGCAGGGAAACCTCAGCACTGAGGAGCCTATGATTGATTTGGAGAAAAGAATCTTTTTTCCAAAGCTGAATGCCAATAACCAAGCAGAAGGCACTCCAGTATAAAGGCCCTGAGCTGTTTGGTCATGTGCTGTGTGAACTTACGTGTGGAACATTCATGTTAATGAAGAATTTATGGAATTTATGTCTTAGAAAACCGGTTTTATACTGTATTTCTGATGGTGCACTGATTAATCTGAGCCCATGGAATTCTGCAAAGGTAGTGGTAAAGTTTAGCATTTTGTGAAGCGCTTCACTGTACTTCATCGTACCACCACCGAGTGTTCAGCTCACTTGGGCCTCTTCTTCCCTTGGAAAGGGTCAGAGGTGTCTTTGAGAGAGACCACAGAGGCAGAGGTGCCTTAAGTGCTCCATAGTGCTTGAGTTGAATATCTGACTCTTCAAGGAAGAGTCCAGGTAGAGGCCTAAAATTGATAGAACCACCCTAGGGCTTCCTTTACTTTGTTTCATTTTACCTTTCACTGGGAGCCAGATCCTGGTTCTGTACAAGTACGAATAAAGGAAGGTAAACTCTAGCTGTCTGGTTTGTCTGGTTCCTAAATCATCAAGATCCAAACATGGGAAAGCTGAGTTTTCACTTGTGAGCTGTTGAGAAAGAAAGGCCTTTTGTGACTGTCTTGAACTATTTAACTGAATGCTGAGCCTGGCGAAGTCCTCAGGTATTTGTGGAACTACTAGACCAGCTCACTTGGGGAGATGACTTTCACAAATGCTAGGAGAGCAATGTAGGATGATGGGTTATAAAGTACAGGGTGATATAACAGGTTGTATGTGGGAAGTTACAGGGGAAAGATACTGAAAGCTTCATGTTCCTTTTCTGCATAGTAATAGTAATAACAGCATATTTCTATAGTGCTTTAGTCTCCAAAATCCTATCCAGTAAACATTTGTTCAAGCACCTACTATGTGCTAGGAAGTGTACTAAGCACTGGAGATAAAATTAGTATAAAGATAGTTCCTATTCTGGGCATCTAGGTGGTATAGTGGATAGAGCCCCATGCCTAGAGTCAGGAAGACCTGAGTTCAAATCCAGTCTTGAGGCTTGCCCAGGCAAGAGATTTAACCCTGTTATTCTCAGTTTCCTATCTGTCAAATGAGATGGAGAAGGAAAAGGCAAACCATTCCAATATTTTTGCAAAGAAAATCCCAAATAGGATCACATGAAAAGTCAGACATGAGTGAACAACAACAAAGTTCCTGCCTTCAAAGATCTTATCCTGTAAAAGGGCAGACAACACAGGAGTCAGGATGGGGGGAGGGAGGAAGACAGGGTACCTGATAGTCTGTAGGCAGAGGGGGACATCTTGTTTCCTGTAATTGAAACCAGGCAGAGCAGTAGATACAAAGTAGAGTTTCAGCCCTCTAATCAAGGAAGAGGAGGCTGAGGGAGTTGGTGACAATAAAAAAGCTTAAGCCAGCAGACTGGCAGTGAATTTAGAAGTGATGAGCTTATCCTGGGAAGGGCATCTGTTCCATGAAGTTGAAAACAGGCAGATCAGCAGATGGTAAGTGGGGTACATGAACATAAGCTTGAGGCGAGGACTTTTAATTTTTGTTTTTGTATCTTTGGTGCCTAGTAGTCAACAGGTATTTTGTGAAAGCACCTACTATGTGTATCAGGTATGGAGCTAGACAGTGGGGAACAAAGAATGAAACGGTCTCTGTTCCCCAAAAGCTTTTACTCTTTGAGGGAGACAATGTGAATATGATGAATATATAGTCATAGCTAGCATTTATGTGGTGCTTTAGCTTTACATGTTATCTCTTTTGATCTGGGATGTAGGTGCTATTATCTCCATTTCACAGATGAGCAAACTGAGGCTGAGAGGTTAGATCACTGGCCAGGCCCATAGCTAGTAAGTGTCTGAGGCAGGATTTAAATTCTGGTCATCCTAACTGCAGGTCCAGTGCTCTTATCTACTGTGCCACTTAGCTGCCTACAAAATAAATATCAGGTAATTTTGGGAGGGAGAATATCAGCAGCTGGAAGGATAAAAGGCTTCAAGTTCAAGGTTTGAGTGAACTAAATGTTGGAGGGGGGAGGGGAAATGAGGTTCTAAGAAGTGAAGGTAAGGAGGAAGTGAATTCTGGGTGTGGGGTACAGCTAGTGCAAAAGAAACAGCAAGGAAAGTGTGGCTGTACTGCAGAATGTATGGAGGAGAACAATGTACAAGGGTGGAAAAATTTGGTATTAGGTTGTGAACGGCTTTAAAAGTCAAACCAGAATTTACATTTTATCCTAGAAAAAATAGTGAACCCCTGGAGTTTGTTGAGGAAGAGTGACATTGTCAGACCATTAGGAAAATGACTTTGGAAGCTGGGAGGATGGATGAGTTAGGGGAGAGGCTGGAGGCAGGGAGACTTTCAGTAGTCCAGCTGAAAGGTGATGACTTGAACTAGTGATGACTTCAGTGAAGTCAAAGCCTTGTGATGTTAATCTAGAGCTCTGGAGAAAGACTAGGAGTTTACCTGTATATAGAAGAAAAACCCATGAAAGTTGATGAGGTCACCAAGTGAGAAAATAGAGAAGAGGGCCAAAGACAGAACCTTGAGGTGCATTTACAGTTACTGTAGAGGGTATGATTTAGATCTTGAACCAACAAAGGAGACTAAAGAGTAAGCAGATAGGAGAGCCGAGAGAGAACAATAAATACCTGTTCATAAAAACCTGGAGAAGAGAGATTGCTCTGGAAAAGAGTGGTCAACAGTGTCAGATGGAATCCAGAGGTCAAACAGAACGAGCATTTGAGGAGAAGACGGTCAGATTTGGGAACTAAGGGATCACTGGTAACTTTGGAAAGGGCAATTTCATTTGGCTGACAAAGTCAGAGGCCAGATTGCACAGGGTTGAAAAGTGAGTAAGGAGATGTAGACAGTTTTTTTTTTAAAAGAACTTTGAGTTTGAAAGAGAAGAGAAAGTAGTCTTTAACTGAGGTTTTTTGAAGATGGGCATGTTTGTAGGAGATAGGAAAGACTGAAGATCAGAGAGAGCTGGCTGAAAAAATAGGAAGGGATGGAATGAATATTAAATGAAGCCTTGGTATGGGAAAAGATCACGTTGTTATCAGAGACTGGAATAATGTAGGTTAGAGTGGTCACCTCTGCACATAAAGAAGATTACTTTGGAAGCAGACTGGAGTGGTGATAGATTTGAGGCTGGAAAACCAGTTAAGAGGCTGTTAACAATAATCTAGGTAAGAGGTGAAGAGGGCCTGAACTAAACTGGTAGCTGTGTGAGTGGAGAGAAGGATTAGATGCAAGAGATGTAATGAAAGTTGAAATGTCTAAATGTGACATTTGTGGGGTGAGGGTGAAAAGTCCAGGATAATGCCAACTGTTATGAACCAGGAAGACTGAATAGATGCTGGTAGCTTTGACAGAAATAGGGGAGTTTGGAAGAGGATGAGTTCTTGGGAAAAGAAAATGAATCCTATTTTGGCTACGATGATTTAAAGATGTCTTCAGGATATTTAGTTTGAAATATCCAATGGGCAGTTAGTGTTGCTTCAGGACTACGGTTCAGGAGAAGTGACTGGAAATAGAGATATAGAAGTGGAAATATATATGTATAATATGTATACACACATTTTCTTTCTCTCTGTCTCTGTACAGAGATGATAGTTAAACCCATGAGAGCTGATGAGATTACCAAGAAAGTGTACAGGGAGAAAAAAAGAGGGCCTTGGACAGAACTTTGGGAGTAAGGGATATGGTGTAGGTTTGGATGATGAGTCAGCAAAGGAGTTGAAAGTGGTGTCCTGAAAATCTAGAGAAGACTAGAAGAAACCTAGGAGGAAAGGGTAAACAGTGTCAAATGCTGCTAGCAGATAGGTCAAGACGGATAAGAAAGGGTAGGATGGGGTGGAAGACTTTAAGAGATCACTGGAGAGATTAAGAGATCATTTAGAGAGAAGTTTTAGTTGAATGCGATGAGGTCAGAAGCCAGATTGTAAAGAGTTAAGGAGTGAGAGGAAGGCAGTGCAGACTGTGTAGAGAGAGTATAGACAGCTTGTTCAAAGAATTTGGCTGGTAAAGGGAGGAGATAAAAGGACCATAACTTGAGGAGGTGGCGGGGTATAGTGAAGATTGGATTTTTGGGGAGACATTTGGAGATAATTTGAAAGAAGAAAGGAACTAGTTGATAGGGAGAGGTTGGACCATGAGAGAGGATGATTTCAGATGCAGTCTTCTGGAGAAGAGAGGGGGGGAGGGATCAAGTGCAAATGAAGAGCAGCGGTTCTTGCAATGTCCTCAGCTGAGCATGGGATGGGAAGGGAAGATGTGGAAGGCTTCAAGATAGAAGACAGAACGTTTGGAACAGATGTTACGGGATAGAAAAGCAATTAGGGAGAATTAACAGTATCGCCTTGCCATAGTAAAGGCCCAGTTGAGATTAGATGTCAAATTTGTATTGGTTGCAGTTAGCTTGATGTTGTGACTTCTTCAGTTCTGTTCCTCAGCATGTGACTAAGAGTGGAAAAGGAAGATGGTGTGTATGCAGGGCTGGAGATTGGCAAGGCATGGGAGTCAGCAGGACAAGGAAGCAAGGATTTCTAGATAGATGGAGATGAGATGGAAAAAGGAGGAAAGTTAATTAAATCAGAGCAGGGATGATGAACTGAGAATATATTGAGGGAAATGGGGATCAGATGATAATAATAATAACTAACATTTATACAGTGTTTACCATGTGCCAGATGCTTTAAAATTATCTTATTTGATCTGGGAGGTAGTTGCTATTTTATCCTCATTTTATGGATGAGGAAACAGACAAACAGAGGTTAAATTACTTAGCCAGGGTCACATAGCCAGCTAGGAGTTGAGGCTGGATTTAAACTCGGGTCTTCCTGACTCCAGGCCCTGTGCTCTATCATCTACATAAATTAGCTGCCTTAATGTCCTAATGAAAGATCAAGAATAGTTTTTAGGGTACAGATTATGATCAACTAAAGAAATTTCAGAATTTTTGAACATGGAAGTATATGTGATAGGGAGAATGTGTGGTCTTTTTGTGGCTGAAGTGTTCTGGAGGAACACATCATACATGGCTTTTGAGATGGAGGAATTTGGAAGTTATGGAATTTGAAGGAACATTAACATGTATCTTGAAGTCCTTGAAAAGTATGAAGGCTTGAGTTGAAGGCAGAGAAGAGAATGAACTGCTTGGGAAAGGAGAGAGAATGACCTGGTGGGTGGGTGTATATTAATACCCCAGAGGATCTGGATTAAGTGAGAAACTTGGATGGAATGAACTTTAAAGCAGGAGAGATTGCTGACTGATAGCAGCTAAGTTTGGAACTGGCAGGGAAGAACAAGAAATATTTTGTAGGGGTTGAGGGGGCAGGGAGAGAAATGGCAACACTAAGTGTAGTCAGTGTTGCAGAAGCCTTCCAGGGAAGCTAGGTTTCTAAGTGAGATGGAAGAAGTCCAAAATGAAGGGAGGTTTTATGGTGTTACAGTGATAAGGCTGAACAGAACTAGAGTGAGACATGGAAGGGGTAGGACTGAAGAGGCTAAGATGAGAAAATGGGATAAAAGAGAACAGGGCCTTGAAAAGAACCTTGGGAAACACCCACATTTAGGGCATATGTTGTCATGTGATAAGCTAGCAAAGGAGATGGGCAGCCAGGTGGCTAAGTGGATTGAGTGCAAGAGCCTGGAGCCAGACTTGATGAATACTAGCTGTGTGACCCTGGGCAAGTCACATAACCCTGTTTGCCTCAGTTTCCTCATCTTTAAAATAGAGAAGGAAATGACAAACCAATCCAGCATCTTTGCCAAGAAAATCCCAAATGGGGTCACAGAGAGTCAGACGACTGAAAACGACTTAACAAAAGCAAAATATAGAGATGCAGTCAATCAGGTAAGAAAACCAGAAGGTGGTGTTTGGAAAATCCAGTCAGGAAGTCTTTGTCTTTCAGAGGAGAGGGTTGTAAACAGGGTCAAATGCTGGTACCCCATTACCACCGTGGTGGTCAGGTGGTGAGACAGGCCGGTAGCGAAATGGGAGACAGGGAGCAAAGTTTGGGCTCTGCCCTCGGGCCCCTCCTACATTGAGGCTGCGGCGCAGTCATTTAATAAATGTTAGAACAAAGGTGATTTCTCCACAACAAACCCCTGGGGGTGGTGGTAGAGGTGGGTATTTATCAAGGGGTTTAGAGCTGTTAGGAACCACAGAAATAATCTTGTTCAGATCCCTCAGTTTACAGGTGAGAAAAGTCCCAGCTGGGTGAAGTGCGCTGTGGCCAAATCTGCTATGGCCAAATCTGCTAGTACTGTAGTTAACAGCTGACCCTGAACCCGTGCCCTTGGAAGAGGCTGCTGGCCACCACTCATTTTCACTAAAGAGGAAACAGGCTGAGAAAAAGAAGTGATCCACCCAATCAGCAAGCATTTATTAATTGCCTACTATATGCTAGGCATTGTGCCGGGCGGGGTGTGGGTAGGCAGGCACGCGGCCCCACTTCGGAAACAAGAGGAAGGCTACTGTTACGTGTAGACGGGCTTCGAGGCAGGTGACCCCGAGAGAGAAGGCTCCCCGCGGAAGGCGGGATTTTAGCTGGGTCCAGAGGGCGGCCCGAGAGGCCACAAAACGCGGGGCTGGGCCTGGGGCCGCGCTCGCTCTGAGGCTGTTCTTGGGTGGGGGGGACCGCGGGAGGAGGCGAGTCAAACGCCCACAGAAACAAAGACGAGCTAAGCCCCAATGGCCACATCAAACTCCCGGCGCGTCCACGTGGGGAGGGGCGGGGCAGAGGCTCCGGTCCCCCGGGCCGAGTTTCTACGGAGGCCGACGAGGAAAGGGGCCCTCAGTACGAGAGGCTCGACCATGCCGCCGTCCTCGGCGATTTCCTGCCGGACCGGCGGACTGAAGCCGACCGGCGCCACGTGATGCGGGGCGCGGCCTCTTTAAGAGGGGACTCTTCTCCCCCCCACCCCCCGCGTGCTCGCGCCCACGCTCGTGCCCGCCGGCTCCCGCCGCTGCCGCGTCTGCATCGCTGCCGCCATCATGATCTGCCTGGTGCTGACCATCTTCGCCAACATCTTCCCCTCAGGCAAGTGGAGGCGGGGCGAGGGGGCCGAGGCGAGGTCGAGGCTGGAGTTGGGGCGGCCCCGGGGATCCCTGACGCCGCTTCTTCACTCCTCTCCGCAGCCTGGACCGGCCTGAACGAGCGGACCTTCCTGGCCATCAAGCCCGATGGCTTCCAGCGGCGCCTTGTGGGCGAGATCATCCGGCGCTTCGAGAAGAAGGGCTTCAAGCTGGTGGGGCTGAAGCTGGTGCAGGTGAGCCGGCCCCGCCCTTTCCCCCGGGGGAGTCCCCTTGATGCGTCCGCCTCTGCCCCCGCCCCTCCTCGCGGCCGGGGGAGCTGAGCCGCCTCTGCCCGCAGGCCTCCGAGGACCTCCTGAGGGAGCACTACTCCGCGCTGCGGGACCGGCCCTTCTACAGCCGCTTGGTGAAGTACATGAGCTCGGGTCCCGTGGTTGCCATGGTGAGGACGACCCGGCGGGGGTTGAGGGGGTGGGCCGAGCACGTGGCGGCAGCTGTCCGACCGGCGCGGTTCTGGACGGTCGCCCCCGGGGGCCGCTGAAACCCTCCCCTCCCCCGCTGTTCTATCCGGAAGGTGTGGCAGGGGCTGGATGTGGTGCGCTCTTCTCGGGCCCTCATAGGAGCAACTGATCCTGCCGACTCTTCCCCGGGCACCATCCGAGGAGATTTCTGTGTTGAAGTTGGCAAGTAAGAGCGCTTGCTGCTGCTGCAGCTGCGCATGTCCTGGTGCCCCCTGCAGTTTCCCCCCACCCTCAAACGGGGGGCAATGGGCTAGCTTCTGCCTGCCCAGGGAGCAGCTTGTGTGGCATCACCCCGGTGGCCTCCTTTTTCTTTAGCACTTTCCTTCTCGTCCTTTCTTGACAGAAACGTCATTCATGGCAGTGACTCGGTGGAGAGTGCCCGCCGCGAGATTGCCCTCTGGTTCCGTGCAGATGAGCTGCTCTGCTGGGAAGACAGCGCCGATCGATGGCTGTACGAGTAGTTGGCCCTGCGACAGCTTCCTTAGGGGTACGACTGGGAAGAAAGGGCATTGCTTGTGCACCTGAACTTCCCTCCAGGTCCATGACCAAACCCATTCCTCCTCTTCAACTCCTAGTTTACAAACTGAGGCCTGAGTAAAAGGTTCTATAGGAAAATTCTCCCCAGGCTGGCTCCTGGGTTGCGTTGCCTTGCCTCTCAGAAGTATCTCTGGGTGTGAGGAGGGGTTGGCTTTCTCCTGGTGAAAACAATTACCTGGGAATGGGGAGATACCTGTGAGCTGAACTCAGACGACTTCGGGTACCGAGGCCAGTGGAGGTGTGGTTGAATTTGGCTTCATCTTATGCTTCCTTGGGAGATGGGGAACAGGAGGTGTTTTTGGCAAAAATAATCACTGGGTAAATACCCTCAGTACACCGTGCTCTAGCAGGTCTATGTCTGTCTGCAAGTTATTTAGTGGGTGAATAGAGCTAGAACAGAATTGTTTTGGTGTTGATTTCCTTCTACCCCAGAAATGCCTTTGGAGAACAGTACCATTCCCTGAGCCTGGCTGTGACAGCTATTCTTAGGGTAGCTGTCTGTAAGTTGGAAAACATCAAACTGAACCTGGGAGGCCAAGGGAGCTCAATGACATGGTCATCCTGGGTGGTTGGGGTGGACAGGATGAACAGAGGGAATCATACAGCTCTGGTAGCCAGGTCAGGACCTGAATTGAAGTGATCTTCCCTTTGAGCTGCAGCTTCTCTTCTCCCTTCCCCTGGGCAGGATGTTTATGGCACAAAGGAAACGCAACAGGTTTTAAAAAAATAAATCCTGTAAAAACCTTTTTCTTTTATCTTATTTTGGGATCGGGCATTATGGTGGAGATCAGCTAAAATGAAATAAAAGGGTGGGAGGGGGTATGAAGAAGTAAACAGGTAGTCGTGGTTAAAGAAGGCTTCAGGGATGATTTAACACGTTTATTACATACAGAACAGGTACATGGTTCGGTTGCAGGGCCAAAGCCTGGGGAGATCATTCCTACTGTCCTCTCTTTACAAGGACACCAGTCTCAGTGCTAACTGTGCAGTGTTCAGGCCTTCAAAGACACTTGGAAATCCTTTTGTAACATAGAATGAACTTTACATACATCACAGTGGAAAGATGGCAGGGAGAAGTAGAGAAGCCAGTCAGCTTTCACCTTGCGCCACACAACTGAGGGGGAGGGGATGGGCTCTAGACCTGGGGCTGCTCTTGATAGTGTGCTTCTCTTAGAGGATAGTGGAGCCAGATGGGGAATGCTTAGGCTGCCCTGTACAGCTTTAGGAAGGAAGAGATCAGCAGCTGGGGATTTTGTAAAAATTCAATCCTTTATCCCCAGGGGCCTGAACAGCAACTCAGAATTGGGGGGTTGGGGGAAGAAGACATAGGTAAGGCCTATACAACTCTAATCATCCCCCAGGGCTGGTGGCCAATGCAGCACAGTCTGTGGAACTACAATTTAATTTGGCAGGCCATAGGGCTAGGGGCCAGGGGCACCACTTTCTTTCTGAAGAATCCATTGGGAGCCAAACCTCATCCCAGATGAGCTGCTTCCTTGTAACCATCTTCTTTCCCTCACCACTGGGGCCTGGCCCAAGATGGCTCCTTTTCCTAGCTCCCAGCAGCAGGTATCTGCTCCAGGACAGCAAACCTCCCAGGCCAACCCTAGGCACTTAATAATGTGGCCAGGGAGCTTGGACTCTATAGGCATTCCTGCTCTGGGAGGACATCTTTACACAGCACCTGGGCACACTATGCTTTTATTGCCTTCAGAGATTCAAGGCAAGAGGCTGACCCCTGAGAGAGACAGTCCAGGACTGGTGTCTACACCTTCTGAAACCCTAGGAGGAGTGAGGAACCCAAAGGGAGCAGGATGGCAGGTACAGTTTAAGCACTGAGCCTGGGCTAGAGTGCAGTAAAGCTGAAGTGTGGTCGGTCAGGGCAGGAGGGAGAAGAGGCTTGCACAACTTGTGGCCCCAGTATGCAGGTCACCTCATGCTCAGTGGCCTGTGGGAGAGCATAAAAGACCTGGTTTCCATTAGGTTTCCAACTGAGCATGTCTGCGGGGGGCCAAAGGCTGGAGCAGATATCTCCTCTTTTTGTGGAGGAGGATGGCTCCTAAGCCCCAGGATTAACAGGTCAGTATGACCACCAGTGCCCTTTAAGGCAGTGCTGACCTGACCCTCTCCTAGGCTATTTCTCTTAGCAGGGGCCAGAAGCCTAGGCCCCTAACATGCACAGAAATTCTAAATGGAATAGAGGTGGGACAGGAGAGGAGAGGAAGGCTCAAAGTGGAGGAGTTCATTGACATCACCTCCCCCATTGCCTGCAAGTGTGGTTTAGTGGACAAAAGCCCAGATAAAAATGTGCCCTAGTAGGTCCCCTGGGTTGTCTGCTATTTAGCCCAGAACCCGGTGCCCCCCATTCATGCAAGACAGTCTGCCACAGGCTTCCAGCTCCTTCTCTGGCTCAGGTTGGCCCCTAGGATCTTACTGCTCCTGTCCGAATGTCCACACTCTCCCATCTTGCTCTGGCATTCTCCATTCCCCCTTTCTTTTTGCCAAGTCTGCCACATCCTCCCCGCCCACTTGAGAAGCCTCCAGTCCTATGGTGAAAGCTGCAAATTGAGAGGTTAGAAAAAGGGCAGGCAGGTGCTTGGGCCACCTGGAGGGGCTGGCTGCATCCCTGGCAGTGGGAGGAGGGCAGGAGTTCTGTATGTACACCTTGGCATTCAGGCAGGAGGGATGGGGTAGCCGGCAGGAAGCAGGCTCTCACTCAGGAATGTAGGAGACCTGCCATACAATGATGTGGCTCCTCTCAGCCTTGGACAACATGGGTTTCACCTGATTCACATCCCCTGCATTCTCTTCTGATTCATCATCTTCTCCATCACCTGCAGAAAGGGCAGGAAGGCCTATAAAGAAGAGTACCTGGTGCCCACAACAGCCTGATTCTGTCCCTGAGGAAGGGGTCCTGGCCGGGGCAAACGCAGAGAAGGAAACCAGCTTAAGGAGAACACCCTCTGCAGCAGGGCCACCTACTCACCGATCCGGAAGTCAATGTAGCCTTCACCACCACTTAACACAAGCACATTCTTCAACTTCTGGCCCTCAGGGTCCGAGGCTGCAGGGCCAGGGTTTTCTGAGGGGCTGTCTAGCACACTACCATTGAGGGTCGCTAGAACGTTCCCTGTGAAAGCAGAGTGGGCTTCAGGAGAACATTCAGAGTTCCCTTCCTAAGTCTAGGTGGCAGATGCAGTAAAGTGATTCAGGAAAGAAGGCTCTTGGAATAGGTCAGGGAGAGACTGGATTGGGGCTGTGCACCTGTGAGAAAGATATGTGGCATTCTTACCTGGCACAGAGACAAAAAACTTGACAGCATCCCGGTGGCCATGGAAGCACAGCTGGGCCTGTGCCATGGAACAATACGGGATGAAGCTGCTGGCTGACCTGTCACTACTGTCATCTCCGTACACATGGATGACGCCACCAGGTCGAGGTCCCTCCCCTGATGTAGGGGATGTCTTGTTGGCTGGAGAAATAGATAGAAGATGGGATAAGTCTTCTTCCTCCAGGGACACAAGGCCCAGGGGTTTAAGAAGAGAAGCTCAGTGTGGCCCTGTCACCCAGGATGGAAGGGTGAAACAGTCTGGTGCAGCAGCTAGCATGGACTGCTGATGGCACACCAATTCCCAGAACCAGACGACTGAAAAAGAAAAGGTTACATGGGCTGGGAAAGGCTATATTAGGCATATCCATCCCATTCAGTGATGAAAGCTGCTCTTCCCCCTGCTTTCTGGACAGAAGCTTCTGCTTCTCTTTGGGGCTGGACTTACCACGGAGCCCGAGGAGCTGACCACGGTGCAGGACTACCGCTATGTAAAAAGGAGAAAGAGAAGTTGTTAAGGAAAGCAAGAAAGGATCAAATCACCCAGGCTGCTTCTTTGTACTATGGGAAGGTGAGATCAGGAATGGAAACAGGATTACTGGGGACCTGCAGACCCATTTCTGCCTTCCCATTAGAGCACCAGAGACCTTGGGTTTAGCATAGCTTTGATGGTCAGACAGCAGGGGAAGTCCCAGGGCCACTGGACAGTTACAGCTGTCCATATGCCACAGCATAGGACTGTGGAGTTATCGACCCTCTGCGGAGAAAGCTGTGTCCAGCCCTGCCCCCTGGAGTCAATGGTGCCTCAGGCCCAGAGACCACTTACTTTCAGTTAGTGGGATGGAGATGACAACACCATTGCCTGTGCCCACCCAGAGACGATTGCCTGCGATAAGAAGAGCCGTGATGCGCACAAAGGAGAAGCCCAATTTGCCGGTGCCTGAGTGTCAAAGAGAAGGGGCATCTCAGTGAGGTGAGGTACTCCCTTGGAAGTTACAGCAGCCCCTTCCTCAGGCCAGCCCAAGCATCTCACCCAGCATCTTGCTGACATAAGGTTCAATGTCAACATCCTGCAGGTGCTGATGGGTGTGGGCATGGTAGAGCCTCAGTGTAGAATCCAACCGGATGGACACCCACACGCCGTCGCCAATCCATGCCAGCTGCCGCACCTGACTCTCTCGTCGTGGATGGGCATCAAATGACTTCTGTGGTACAAATATAGCCACAGGTTTGTCTCCTGTGGTCAGACTAATCTATGTATGTATGTATCAAGGAACATAAGGAGTCCTTATGAGTTCACTCTTCTGACTCCCCTAAAGGTCAGTTACAGAGAGAGCTCCTCCTGGGAGCTTTGGGCTCCCCACAATCCCCAATGCTGGCTGCTCACCTCTATCTGCATTGTTTTCGGCTGGATGACATGGACCTTGTTCTTATAGCCACACCAGACCCGATCATAGACAACAGCCATGCAGCGGATGGAGTGGTGTGGGTGGCCCAGGTCCATTAGATGGTAGTTGCTGAGGTCCCACTGGCCATCTGGAGAGAAATCCCAGGGCTCAGAGACTGATAAGGCCAAAGAGCCTAGCAGCTGCTCCCATTACACAGCCTGAGAGGAGGGGCTGGATCAGCTGATAATGCATAGGACAAGGTTTCCATCAACCTCCAAAGACCACCATGCTTAAAACAGGCACTGACTGAAGGTGGGGAAGAGATTCCATGGTGGCCATTTTGTGACTTACCCAGGGCCTTGCACTCATCACCTCCCAGAGAGGCAGGGAAATGGTCAGGGCACCTTTGTCCCTGTTAAGTCCAGGACCAATAACCCTGTTCCCATCCCTGGCCTCACCTTCCCCACGGTGAAAGATGGCCAACGTCCCATCTGCTAATGCTACCAGCACCCGGCCTTTTACATGCCTACAAGAGAAACCTTAGTTAATCAAGAGCCTGGACCCAACCAATCTCGGAGATAGTGGTACCAATTCTGACCCAACAGAGGGATATAGAATGAAGCCCTGCTTCTCCCTGCTTTCCACTGCTCCTTAAGCAGGATGCAGCCTGGCTCAGGCCAGAGGAAACGGTGACTCTGGACACCTAGGCTCCAACAGCAGTTCCTTGCCATCCCCAGCCAACCTGTTTACTCTGCTTCCCTGCAATGTACTTACACCAGGCTCAGAACAGAGTCCTTCAGCTTGATGGAATGCAGACACTTTTTCCAGTTGGCCACTGCTGAGTGCACATAGAGCCTGCGAGGGGGAAAAGGTGGGCAGGAGAGTAAATGACCAGTCTCCAAGCTTGCTCCTAGCTCCAATCTACCTCCATGGCAGCTTTTTCTGCAGACATGTCACTGGCTGTGTTCCACCCCATACCCCAACAATAGGACATACCAACCGTTCTGTGCTCCCAGCCACATGGTGGGAG